CTCTTCCAGTGTGCTTTGGCCTGCACGCCCGCTGCTACTCAACCACCATGAGAAGATAAGCCGTCTAGTCTCATCAGCTTTTGTTTCTTTCTTCTACATCAGTTTTTCTTTTCTTTTCCCGTTGAGATATTTGTGTTCTAAGTTTTGCCGCAAAGCCATGTCAGACCTTGTCTGTACCAGCTTTAAAACTTCAGCCAGAGTACACGACTCCACACCATCCTTCAGCCAACGCCCAAGACCTCACTTCGAATGACTACTGAACTTTCAGCCAATCAACAACTTTGGGAAACCCCTTTCTGCAGCCATGCCATACAAAAGGAATTCCCTTAAAACAAAGGCAATGCAAGTACAACCTCCAGATTCTAGCTGAACTGGTGCATTTAATATAAAGTTTGATAGCCTCACTGAGAAACTCAATGCAAGGGTTTATTGATTAAAGGCTGTTCAGGTCTAAGCAATTGCCTATATTGCTATAAACATGGGATTTCACATTTTCACTCTCTCAAACTCATTATTTCCTCATTTTATTTCTGCAACTTGTGTTACTGTGTGAGTGCATGTGTTAGATTAGTTTACATGTCTTTTTGATTTATCCATTAAAGTCTTATGTACATTGAAACGAGAAGTATCTTTTGTTTTGTGCTTACAAGTTAATGTCTTAAACTGCCGATCTTGTTACCATGCTAATAAAGTGTTTTTACTATATTGTGGATTGATGTTATACGGCTCGATCAATGAATCGCTGTCCGACTGATCAGCCGTAAAACAGTGATTCTGTCCAAATTCCCTATAAATACACTCTTAAAAAAAAAGGTTCTTAAATGGTTCTTTGGAAGGGTGTATGGTTCCATGAAGAACCTTTCAGATCCAAAGAACCTTTCCGTTGTACAAAAGGTTCTTTATAGTGCCAAATGGTTCTTTAGAACGTTTCCGTTGTACAAAAGGTTCTTTGTAGTGCCAAATGGTTCTTTAGACTAGGGTTCTTCACCCTCAATCACATGTGACCTCATATTGTTGGAATAAGTTCCAGAATGATTCTTAAGATTCTTAAGAAGAAAAAAAAGTGATACGAGGCACCCTATTATAATAAATAGCACAATGTCACCTATATCAGCTATATCAGTGGTTTTCAATGCTGGTCCTGCGGGGACCCACAGCTCTGCGCATTTTATGGCTGCATCCGAAAAGTGAAAAATGCTGGCTTCGGCGGACACATTCCAAGGTAGGAAGGCATCAAGGCACGTCCGAATCCAAAGTTAGCTTCACTTCCTGTCTCATGAGATACCTTCATCTGATTGATTTTTGAAGGCAGCATAGATGTATCCTTCGCTGCCTTTGATATCCCACAATCCTGTGCGTTCCATTCTGTGATGGTAGAGCTAAAAAATAAAGATGGCGTCTGAAAGTTGCGTTTGGTGGTTAGTTTGTGTGTAAATGTATATTTCTGATGAACTTTTTGCACTTTTGATGTTATTTCTAGCGAGAAATTAGTATTATAGTAATTAAATATCCGTTTAGTTATCGCAAACACTCGTTCTATTTTGTTGTAGATCATTAAACCGTTACACTGCCTCAGAAGCGGTGCCTTCGTGCAAAAACGCTGCCTGCAAAGTCATTGCCTGATGTGTTTTTTTAACCTTAAACCGCATAAACACATTTCATTACACCAAATACACAAAATACTGTTCTTTTTAGCAGCATCATATGACCCCTTTAAATGTGTTTAGTTATCACCAAAACTCGTTCTATTTTGTTGTAGATCAATAAACCGTTACGCTGCCTCAGAAGCCTGTCCGAAATCAGTTTTATGAGGTGCCTTCGTGCAAAAACGCTGCCTGCAAAGTCATTGCCTCATACGGCAGTGAGGCAGCAAGTCAGCTGCCTAAGTTTTCGGATGCAGCCTGTGTGTCTCCCTTATAGGAGAGAGATCTATGCACTGAACTGAGTGTGTCATAATGATTAGTTAAGTAATTATTGTCGTCCTAACAATATTAAATTCTGCTGTTATTTAGTTTAATAGGCCTATGTGTTTTGAGTGAACCTGTTCATTAATAATTCAAAGATTCACACATAATACTCATGGTTGCCATGGTTTAATGCTGTAGTCTAAAACAGTCACCCAATGAATCAGTAAATGAATCTTGGAAAACGTAATTGAACAAAATCCCCACTAGTCGCTGTTTACGTTTTTTCTGGTGGTTTATAATAGTTTAGTAATGAGGAAAATCACGGACATGACAGGTCTTAGCTTGCAGTTTGGAGTCAAGTCTCAATTTCTGAAGCCATTAAATAGACGACCCAGTCAGCAAATTTCCTTTGGCGCGGAAGTTAACATATTCCATGGTGTGCCATAGCCAAGCCACATATGGCTCTCAGTTGTGTGCTATCATCTGGGCCATATACCTAAAAAAAATTGTCATCCAAAAGAAAATTCCCTCCAATTCTAAATCCATGGCAAAACATATGCGGTTAAAGTTTGGCCCATATGTGCTCAGCCATGCCATACCTAGGCCAAATGTGACAGCTATCAGCCACATTTGGCCCAAACGTTCTTGCTATCTGGGGAAGTGATTCTTTGTGGAAAATTATTCTTCCCCTCCCTCTCCTTTCAGTCTTTTTCGTGCCGTATGGTTTTAGAAGAGTCTGATAAGAAGTAAAATGGTGTGTTTGAAATAATAAAACATTTTAATTAGTATAACATAACAGGATGGCTTTTCCAAACTTTATGAATAAATTATCCTTTTTTTTTGGCAAATGCAGTTTCGCGCCGTTTCTTCCTGCTCACTTCACTTCAGGTTATGCCCGCGCTTACAGGATGCCTTTTCGCTGAGAGTCTGACAGAAATCGACGTGAGTGTGCATGCATAGAACTATTTTAAATAGCCAGAACAAAATATCGAGGGTTATTTATTGTTGTTTTTTTCTAACTGGTGAAAAATAATAATTTTAAATGGTCTTATCTGCCCAAATGAGGTTTCGAGCAGGTCTCGGCCTGCCGCTCATTCCTCCACACGCACAAACACACCAAACCTCTGACTGTCACTAAACATATAATCAGAAGCATCTGTGAAAATACTTTCTCAAGAGCTACACACCACCATTGCATAAGAAAGAAACTTGTTTATGAATAAATTGTCCTTTTTTTGCCAAATGCAGCTTCGCGCCGTTTCTTCCTGCTCCCTTCACTTCAGGTTAACGGTACGCACGCGCTGATAGGATGCGTTTCCTCTGAGAGTGACCGAAATCGACGGTAAGTGTGCATAAATAGAACTATTTTAAATAGCCAGAACAAAATATAAAGGGTTATTTATTGTTGTTTCTAACTGGTGAAAAATAATATCATTTTAAATGGTCTTATCTGCCCAAAATGAGGTTTAGAGCAGTTTCTTCGCTCCATTCACCGCAGTTCGAGGCATTGACAAGATCTGTGTCCGGTATTTTTGAGAGTCTCCCCAAAAGGCTAACGGTAAGTGAATTCATGGAATCATTATAAATAGCATATATGTACTGAAATAAAACATTGTTTATTCGTTCTCTGTTTGTGTGGCCGTGAGTGGTTAAATAGTAAAATCAACCTCAATCCAGTGAGGTAACGTTAGACTAGTCTGGTAGTTATCCACCATTTTGTCCATCAAACTTAATGAAAACCACATTTATAACATCTCTGACTCCATGTTACATGGGTCAAAAGCTCTATTCGGACAGCAACTCTTTCTTAATCTCTGTTCGGACAGTAAGTTAATTGTTTCTTAAGCCCTAATTTACTCCGTTGGTAATCGTTTCTCATGAGGACGTCTGTAAAAATTAATTTACATGGCACCTTAGTGATAAAACTCATGGATTCGGATGGCGATTTATTCGCAGTGGATAAGCACTGTGAATCTAAACAACCGTTGAAAAACACAGAGTGCGTCTCAATCAGCTTCTTTGTTATAGTATGGTGTTCTGTCTTGCATTTATCTCTCAAAATGATGGATCAATTTCATTACAAATGTGGAGATTAGCAGGAATAGCAACTTGTTTATATAAAGTAAATATAAAGCTGCTTGGGTTATATATTTGTGTATAAAATTGTATAGAACACACGTTTTAAAATTGTTGCATACCTGTTGCTGTCATAATAATGACTAATTTCAAATGTTTACAAGCTTTTCTACTCTTTGTTCTTAACAGCTCCCACTTGCTGTGGTGGAGCAGTTATGTAATATTGTTCTTGTACACTTTCCTGCATTTCAGTAGCCTTATAAATATGCATGCAAATTACAGCAAAGTGCAATAGTTACAGTACGGTGTTCATCAGTGGTCAAAAAGGATTTAAACAGTGAATTTTGAATCGATGTATTCTTGTAAACTCAGATGTAGATTTGGATAGCAATTAAATTACTATACAACCTTGGTATTTGTCAAAAAACAGGGCCATTCGGTCGGGGATTTTTATGTGGGTGGTGGCCTGACATTTTGGATTTGGACCGCAATGAAATCACAGACCTAACCCCTGCAAATGTTGAAAATAGTTTACGTCCCCATGAGAAACAATTACTGTCCACGGCCTTTATAGTGATGTCTGTAAAAATAAATCTGCAAGGTTCCTCAGTGATACTCATGCATTGGGATAAAGATAAATTCCCTGTAGAGGTCTGTGTTTGTGATCCCACAGACATAATATAAATAAGTGATTCATTGTGAAGCGTAGAGAGGTTCATTGATTATAACGGAACTTTGTGAGATCATGATGAACTGAAATGAGCTTTTTACAGATTTTGAAGGGAGCTTTCTAGAAATCCTTTAAAATGACTTCATAATTATTTGAAATTAATTTAAAAATTAGATGGGAATGTTTTGTTTATTGGTTTTTGATAGTAACAATCTTCAGGGCATAGTCTTAAGTTGAACAATGTTTGTTGAAGGTAGAATAGCAGTAAAATTATTATAAAAAAAAATAAAAATTCTAGCAAGCTAGATGTGTCAAGTTTAGAATGGCAGTAAATTTGCACCTTTTTGCAGCTTGCTTTCAGCGAATAATGCGCATTATGTGCAGCTAACAACATTATTTTTAATATACTTCCCAGATATGACTGAGCATTGGACTACCACAGAGGTTTGCCAGTGGCTTGATGAAGTGTCACTGGGACACGCGAAACCAGCATTCATCGGTCAGTAAAATGGGATGGAATATGCTTTTCAGTGCTCATATTGTCCTGTTAAAAGAGCAACACATGACAAACTTTTAAAGCATCTTCAGCTGTACCACGAAAATGAAAAAGGATTTTCTGTGACATGTGGAGTGGATGGCTGTCCTCGTGTATTCTCCAGAGTGAAGTCTTTACAAAATCATTTAAGACGTAATCATAAATCCACTGGCAGAAACCATTCCGAGATTGACGAGGCACCTAGAAACCATTCTGAGATTGACGAGGCACCAGTTCCTTTGAACCCTGTTGTAGAGGCGCATCCAGTGGACTCTGAAGAGAACAGTGGAGTGTCACTTTCTCAGTTTGTGGAAAAACTTACTGAAACTCTTCAAAGACATTTGGCTTTGTTTTCCCTACATCTTCAAGAAAAGCATGTGATACAGAGAAGTGTGCTAACAGAAGTAATAAGTGAAGTTGAAGCCTTGTTTAATTTTTTTCATCAAAAATATAAGGACATCTTTTGTAAATGTCTTGATAATTTAAATATTGACATCAGAAATCCACTGTTTTCCTTTTTGAGTGAAGATGATTTTGTTGAACATTGCTTCAGTGCTATTAGCAGTACTCATAAACTTGATCGGTATTGCGCTGAAAAACTGAATTTGATCGAACCGGTTGAGTACGTTCTTGGTGTTGACTCGCTTGGAAAAAAAAGAAACCTTCCAATATATTCCACTCTTGGACATTTTGAAATTAATTGTCAGCGATCAGTTAACATTAGAGCATATTTTTGAAAGGAGGGTAACACATCTTGATTCACTAACAGACTACAGTGACGGTGCAATTTACAGAAACTCGATTTGGAATAGTGAAGACCACTTTTTCAGAATTCATTTGTACAATGACGAGTTTGAGGTTGTGAATCCAATTGGATCTAGAAGACTGCTCCACAAAGTCTCTGCATTTTACTTCCCTCTAGGCAACATTCACCCTAAGTACAGAGCCAGTTTGAAGCACATTCATCTTCTGTTACTTGTGAAGTACAACATTTTGAAAAAAATACGGCATACAAAAGATTGTGGAACCACTTATTTCTGATCTCAAGAAGTTGGAAAGTAATGGTATAGAACTGGTGTGGGAAGGAAAGGAGCTTTGTGTCCGAGGTGCGCTTGTAACTGTATCTGCTGATAATCTCTCAGCCCATGCTCTTGCAGGCTTTAGCTGTTCATTCAGTAGCGGACAGGGTCTGCAGGTATTGCTTGTGCCATTATAAAGATCTTTCTCTGAAAACAAAAGAGGAAGATTGTGTCCTACGGACAACAGAGACTCACAACTATCATCTCCAGTGTGTGGCAGAAGATCCTACCACAAAATCTTTGTATGGAGTAACAGGTCCTTGTGCTTTTAGTGACTTGCCAAACTTCAGTGTGACCAATGCATTCCCTCCCGATGTTATGCACGATTTTTTGGAGGGAGTTGTTCCTCATGTCTTGAAATTGGTTTTAAGGGCCTTGCATAACGAAAAAGTTGTGAGTGTGCAGGAGGTTAGCAATGCTTTAGCACACTTTCCATTTGGACAGAACGACTTGTCTCATAAACCAGGACCAATATCTGAGAGACTTCTTTCTGATGGACAAATAATTGGAAAAGCTGTGGAAAAGTGGACATTGCTTCGGACAATCCCTTTAATCATTGGGAACAGAATAAGCAAAAGCGACAAGAACTGGCAGCTCATTCTTTGTCTAAGGCACATTGCAGAAATAATACTGGCACCAACAATAAGTGTACATTGGATCAGTCCTTTAGCTGAGCTAATAACTTCATTTTTAACCATTTTCAAAAGTCTCTTTCCTGACTCCTTTACCCCAAAGCTCCACTTTCTACTTCACTATCCGCGGTTGATTGAAGACTTTGGTCCTCCCAGAGCACATTGGTGCATGCGATTTGAAGCAAAACACCTGTACTTTAAAAAGGTGTCTCATGTTGAATGCAATTTCAAAAACATCTGCTCCTCTCTAGCAAAGAGAAACCAGCTTCGACAGTGCTGGGATTGGCAGGGAGACAGAGTTCCTGGGAAAGACAATTGTTCTGCGGCAGTGTCACGTTTGGACTTCAGTGAACTTGATAAACCACTGCAAGAAAGGCTTCTGTGCTACTCAAAACTTGCAAGAGGAAAATATCTGGAGCAGCAAGAAAATTTTGCTGAATACTGTAAAGTACTCACTGGGAGACATGGTAATACTTGATCTCTTGCATGAAGACATACCACAGTTTGTAAAGATCATCCAAATCCTCAACATTAGAACCAGTTGGTTTATCGTTGGCCAGCTCTTCAGCACAGTTGGATTTGATGCACATCTCCATTCATACCATGTCATTCCCTCTGAGGATACTGTAATATTTAAAGCTGGAGAGGAGGTGGATTTTCATAGTCTGGACTGCTACCACCTGTCAGACCAGCATTTCATCACACTAATCCATCGTCCCTTCAAACCAATGTGAGGATAACCTATGTTATGTGTTTATTCTTTTAGCGTGGCACATAAAATAGTCTCTTATTACTAGCACAAAGTCTGCAGCTTTGAGTGTACTGTATCGTCTGTCCATTGGGGGAAAAAAAACTTCCACTAACTACCTTGTACTTTATTTAATTCTTTTATTTATTTATTTTTAACAGAGAATGAAGTAGATGGTCCAACGCTATTAAAAATGACTGAAAGAATGAGTGAACGTCTCTTCCCAAAAATCAAAGAACAGATACAATTTATGTCTGCATTGGAAGACCTGAAATCGTGAGTATTAGTCCTGATTTATTTAGTTAAGGTAGTATTTCTATAGTAATTTTCTATGAGATGTGCATTAAGTTTAACACTTAATGTTATGATATGAATATAATATTTTTTATACTATTTGTTGTTTTTAGCCACCGTGACCTCACTGAACATGTAATATCACAGACCACTCCAGTGGTTCTGCACTCCAATACTGAAGTACGGTATCCTACATTTCTAATGAGTGCCCTTGAAAAGCAGGACCCGCAGCTGAAGTCTCCTACTAAGAATAAATTCAAAAATGCATTAACTCAAGCCCTATTTGACCACCTTAGCCAAACAACAATGTAAGTTATTTTGTTTTCTAACACGGAAATATTGACGGCAAAAATTTTTTTTTTAATTTTACATTTTTTTTGCAGTTGTGTGCTTTGATTGGGCTGTCCAACATTATGATAGTGGTTAAATTGAAAATACTGTCTATGTAGGGTTGTAACGGTATGAGATTTTCACGGTATGATAATAGTCTCAATAATCTCAACAATAATTATTTTTGGCAAAGTTCTGCACATCAGAGGTTTTCCGTTTTTTTTTTTTTTTTTCGTTTTAACTTTTCTGGACTCCTTTTTAATGGTTAAATTAAATTTTATTAATCAAAAAGCATGTCTAGCTAATTAAAATCATGAAACTTGAACAATTTAACATTTGAAAGCATAAAACAAGTTTCATTTATTCTTACAATAGCCTTATGATTTTTTTGCTCAGAAATTCTGTCTGTGTTGTGTATTTACATTTTTAAGGCATAAAACATTCATTTATCTTTTAATTAATGAAAATTAAACAAATTTTTTTGGGGGGAAAATAAAGGGGATTTAATATTACAATTAAAAACATTGAAGAAATATTGTATGATTATCCCTTAAAAATAAGGTTTTAATAATTTCAGTAGTAGCCTATTACATACATTCTACTGAACAATAGTAATGTTGGCTATTTCTGCTGCAATGACTTCAAGGTAAACCGAACTTCTTATTTTGACGGGTTGCCGTGAATACCTTTACATTTCTGTGTGTATATGATATGATGATGATAGTTTTACTCAAATGAAATGGTCAGACATGAAGTGACTCTCAGAGCAGTTCTGGAGATGTTGTTCATGTATTTATGTCCTCATTAGTGAGACGGCAGACGCTAATATCACCGTAAGCGTCACGCGCGCTTCAGTACAAGTAGTAAACAAAACCGCGCATCTGCACCATTCATAACAGAGACATGCAGAATTCATATTTAAATAGTCTTTTTGCGGCTTAATATTTACAAATACGAGTGGGAGTGTGCTCACTTGTGTGTGCGTTTGTGTGTGTGTGCATCGGGGCTGAACTCCGCTGTGCGCGATACAGAGAGAATGTATTCTATGTAACGTAGAGACAGAAATAAGGCTATTTAGTTTGTTTAATAAAAGAACAAGTTATTGACCTGTTCTATAGGAAAGGGAACTTTAAATGACTTCTGTTGTGATCTGGCGCTATAGAGAAAATAAAATTAACTTGACCTTTAAGGGGGGCGGGGGGCCGTTGGGGGGGCGGGCCGCCCCCCTAATATAATGGCAGGGGAAACACGGAAATGTTTGTTTTCTCTCAGAGCAGCTCTGCTGGTGTTCATGTTTATGTAGACGCTGAAAACACCATTAGTGTCATGCGTACTTCAGTATGTAGTAGATAAAACGGCGCTACTCAGAGACATGCAGAAACAAGCAGATTATTTATATAGCAGTCTCTTTGCGCTTCAT